GGTGTGGTTGGTCCTCCGGAGTTGTAGTTCAATCCAAGACAAGTGCTTAACTCCCAGCTTGTAGCTGTTACATTGCACTGTGAGGGATTGCCTCAGTAAATTGAGCTCCAAGGAGCAGAACTAAAGCTTCTCTGTTTTAAGTACTCCATTGACTTTCTTGGGACCTGGATTGCCCTCCATGTGATTTAGCCATTAAGCCAAATTGAATCTTCACTAGCTGTCAAAAGCACTAGGTGTTAGTTAGACCAGGAGGAACCAGTTGTTGTAGAAGAACTCTGACCTCTCACTGCTGGTCCAGAAGGTAGTCGTAGGCAGAAGGTTTGCTTGCAGTATGCTCAATTGCCTTAATCACCTACTCCTTGGCAAGGGAATGCAGAGAGCTGGGGAGCTTTCTTCTGTGTTGGTGAGTGAGGCAGAAAAGAAACCCCAGTGTTTGGCTGCTTTCTTCAGTAGAAAACATGGCTAGAAGATGTCTCACTGTCTCCTTCAGAACACGTGGGTTTTTTTGCATGTTCCTTGATTTCCCCCACCAGATACAGCTGCTGGTAATTTTGCAGCTGATGCCGAGCACCTCTGCTTGGCACAGGGGATCTGGTAGAGGCACTGCCCCGCGAATGTGCCGGATGGTCACGGTAGAGCAGATGTGAGTCTGATGGCAAGAGCCTGAGGAGCAAGGGCTGGGGTGGGGGTAAGCTGCCGTAACACAGAGGAGCTCTGATTGCATGAGGATGCCGGCTCTTTGCATTGCAAACTTTCTCAGTGCCTGTGAGCGCTGGCGGGATCTCACGCAGCACGCAGTTTTGTACCGGTCTCTGAAATTAACAGAAAGAACAAATCCAACCTGCATTTGTTTATTTTCCTAGGTTTTTGAGCTTTGTTATTCTAGAATATTTTTCCATATTTCTCTCTCCTCCCAGCTAGTGTGCGGAGGAGGAGAGTAACCATCGGTTTCCTTTACGTCACGTACTTGCTCACTGGCCTGAATTTTCAAGACTATTTGCTGATTTTGTTGACGGATTTTCAGGGGTGTGATGCATCTACAGCCCCCGCAAATTCCTGAAAACGTAGCTGAAAGTATCTCGGAAAAGACAGCACCAAAAGCTTGTGTTGCTGTTTAAAATGTAGGCCCTTCTGCGCAGGGACAGTCCTCTCAGTGCCGGGAAATGTCTGGACACAAGATGGCGCAGGTTTGCAGTCAGGGCTTGCAGCTCAGCCCTGCTCCTTAAGGAGGTCGCCTGGTTAATACCTCGAGCAGAGGTGAGCTGCTCAGCTCCAGGGTAGAGGTGTCCATCTTTTGCACCACCACCCCCTGCTTGCTCTTCTCTGGAAAGTGATGCTTCCTCTGGACACTGCCCCCAAACGAACTCCTCTCAGCAGAGGTGGAGGGAAAGGGTGTGGGTCCATGGATTTATTTCAAAAGGATGCAGGTGTATCCCTACAAAGATAGTGTTGGTTCCTGGTGCGGGTGGTAGGAAATGGGCAGGTTCCCAGGTGTTCCCTTTTCACAGCTCTGAAGGAAAAAACATGCAATACTAGGGTGGTCCGTGAGGCTGGGGGAATTTCCAGAGCCCACACAGACAGGACACTTCCCCTCTTTCCCGCTCTTGACACTGCTGTCAAGTCAGAAACCTGCCAGGGGAAAAGACAGTATGGTGGGGAAGTAATGTTTGGAGGTAGCGTGACCAGAAATAGAAATATTTAGGGAACAAGAACTCAGCAGTTGCAACAGGAGGAAGAGGAGACTTTTGTGTCTTCTGAAGGGCGAAACAACAGAAATTGGGGGAACAATCAAAGCAGTTACAAAACCATGATCAATTCGTTGTAATTGAGCCAGCTGTCAGTGCAGCCAGAATAAATACAGCTCAGCCTGATTGCCCTCCTTTTCCCGCAGGCCGTGTACAAGCTGGCGGACGTGGCCTGCAAGTGCCACGGTGTGTCAGGCTCCTGCAGCCTCAAGACCTGCTGGCTGCAGCTGGCTGACTTCCGCAAGGTGGGTGACCTGCTGAAGGAGAAGTATGACAGCGCCGCTGCCATGCCGCAAGGGCAAGCTGGAGCTGGTGAACAACCGTTTCAACATGCCAACGCAAGAGGACCTGGTCTACGTCGACCCCAGCCCGGACTATTGCCTGCGCAATGAGACCACTGGCTCGCTGGGCACTCAGGGCCGACTGTGCAACAAGACCTCAGAGGGTATGGATGGGTGCGAGCTGATGTGCTGCGGACGGGGTTATGACCAGTTCAAGAGTGTCCAGGTGGAGCGTTGTCACTGCAAGTTCCATTGGTGCTGTTATGTCAAGTGTAAAAAGTGCACAGAGATCGTCGACCAGTACGTCTGTAAATGAAAAGAGCCACCAAAGCAACAAATCTATATTATATAAATCTATA